GTAATCCTGCCATATTTTCTGCAATATTAAATTAAAAATATATTTTTTATACACGAGACGGGGTTCTATAATAAATACTTTTATAGAATGCGCGTATCGTTCAATTTCCCGCTGACTCTGAAAATATTACGCGTGTTTTAAAACATATACGCTCCACTAGTAACGCAATTTTTCAATTACATCAATTAACTCTTCAAACATTTACATCGCTCGAGACTCGAACTTCCGCACGCTTTTTTCGTTCCCCTTCCTCCCCCCTCCCGCTGGTATCCGGGGTTTCCACGAGTTTCGCATCGACAGCGCGCAGATAAATTTGACGCGCTATATAAATATATAAAAAAAAATGCGAATAAAAAGAGAAGATCGGACCGTTGTAACAAATCCAGCCTCAAAAGCGTCAAAGGGCGTCGGCGGTGGCGATTAAGATCCTCATGCGAAATTGATGCTAATTGATTTAATCCGGCCGGTATTTACGGCGGGCAAATGAAACGAGTGTTTTCACCGTGACGTCAGATACCGGTACCGGTATAATATCAGTCTCACCCCCTTTCCCATCCCCGTCGCCGTCGCCGCACACCGACACCGTCGTCGGGGATGCGTAAAAACGCCGTTCGCGCACACGTCGACGTGTGTGCAGCAGTCTATAATCGAGTTATGCACGCCGCATTTTTCCATCAGCTCTGCCTCCTCTCTCTCTCTCTCTCTCTCTCTCTCTCTCTCTCTCGTCGATCAAAGAGCGCGCGGCCACCCGCGCGCGGGAAACGGGGGTGGCGGAGGGTGCACATAAAACGTTAGTAATGCATCCCGGTATATAAAATGCCGCTCGTTCGCGCAACGCGCGATATACACACATCAAACGGTTTATAAATCAAAACTTATAAAAAATTTTTGCGTATACGATATTACCGTCGGCCGCGTTTTCCCAGCCCGTTACTATGACCGGCAGCGCATTAACGCTCCCGATAACCCCCTTCTCGTTTTGCCTAACCCCCTTCGTTACCCCCTTCCTCTCCCCACCTCCACCTCTTCTTCCGCCCTTCAAAACGTTTTCCGGTGGAAAGTAATCGGACAGATCACTCAGCTTCATTTGATCGCTCGGCCACACGATAAAATGCCGAAAGTTGTGACGAAAGTGTTATAATGAGTACAACGTTACACGCATTTCCGGCTTATCGCGGGAAAACGCCGCTCATTCGGAGAGATTTCCGACGTAATTGAGGAATTAATTGATTCGATCGACTCTCGATTTTGCCCGACGATCGATTTTGTGAAATGTGGAGTAGCAAAATATGTTTATTACCAGGAAATCATTATTATTGCTCGATCAAAGACGCTGATTGGAGATTCGATCTTAATCAGCTATTGATTCGCGCTTAATTATAATAAATCTTACTTTGATTATAGAGAAATTATTCCTCCTATGCTCTTCTTTTAATAAATTCGATATAGGTATAATTCGGTTTAATTGTTTCTACAGAACTTCTTTAATTATTTTTGATAGCAAATCTGACAGCAAAACAATAAGAAAATCGCATTTGACGATTTTCTTTATGTTCTTTTTACTAAAATTGATCGAATAAATTCGTGCGATTTGATTCGTGAATGAATTATTATTTTATTTTTTGTAATTGACATATTTTTTGTTTAATCTGCATGGAAAGAACGATTTTATTGAAGTATCTAAAAATGTTAACTTATGTCGTAATCTGTAAAAATTGACCAATTATATTCGATTATTATTTCCCTCTTATTCAACTGTGATTGATTAATTTTTATAGATTACAGCCAGTATAAATAATCCTTCCCAATAAGCAAAAAACGTTTGAAAACATTTCTTGTTTACTGGGTTAAGTATCATAAGAGTTGAAAATTTTTGACAATTCTTAAGGGGATCTTAAACCAATAGGAATTATCGACAATTGCAGATTGCCAATTTCTTCTCTAATTAACTTTATAAATCGTCAAATCCTTTTACAGAATAAAAGTACGCACAAAAAAAAACACCGGCCATACTAAATTTGACGAGAAAATTGGGGAAAAATTCAAAAGTTCACTTTGTTTCAGCTTTCATATATTTCACCTGTCATCTTAGATTATAATTCTTTTGGAAGCAAAAATTTTATAGATCGTACGTATCAAATGATACCTTCCCCGGAAGCGTATGATATATATTATACAAACAATCCTGAGTTTACGAAATTGTGATCAAAGGCCTAACAAAAAAGATTTTCCACGATTAAAGTATACACATCAATGGAATTTATTCTGAGCCGACAAAAAATTTTTCTTAAGATTTCGAAATTTTTTGTCGTTCTCGGTATAAACTCCACCTCACAGACACGTATTAATGCGTATACTTTAATCCTGGAAAAGGATTTTTGAATCTCTAAAAGAGGAAAAAAGTAATTGTTAAAAAAAGATTATGATTAGTCGGTAATACAGACGCTTTAAAATTGTTTTAGGGTTTGCTTTAGGATCCCCTTAACTGTAATTAATTGATATGATACGTCTTATGGTTATTGTTACGACGTGCGGTCATCCCGAAACCTATTAGGTATAATAAGCTTTAAGCCGTAAACTATCGACCAATCCGATGTGAGAAGAATAAGTGATGATTGATTGAGCGCGTTCAAATTGAACAAAGCTAGCTTGCTCGCCGAGCGATTGAATGTGATTAATTGGATCTGTAAGTAACAACCAATCATGTTCATTTGCTCGGCGAGCAAATTAGCCGTTATTGATTCAAATGCACTTATTCCTTACTATGAATACCTTCCATTTAGTGACACAAATCGATATAAATGTTCTATTTTTCTTCACACTTTATGAGTAACAAAGACAGAACGACATTTGTGTCGCCTATATCTATTGTGTATCGAACTAGAATCACAGCACAAAATAAACTTAAGCAGTAAAAGATAAACAGCAAGGAAATTAACGTGTTGAATTGGTTGTTGCTTACATATATTGGCCTTACGATCTTTATTGTAATTGATCAATTCGCTTAGCCCGGATCTACAATAGATTTTTAAGCCTTAAGCCATAAGAAATGGACGAATCACAATCGATTATTCTTCTCGCATTTGGTAATTAATTTCTTAAGACTTAAAACACCTATTGTAGATCCAGACTTATTGCTTACACTTTACTGCTTAAGATTTTTGTGTGCCATAATTCTTAGAGTCGCGACACAGACTTTTACATAACGCATAACGCATAGTGCATAAGAAAATCGACTAATCTGAATCCTTCCTTTCCTTCTACTTCACAGAAGAGGAGAACTTTGATTGGTTAATAGGTTGAGCCATTACGCAAAAATCTTTATCATGACCCTTAACATATAAAGCAGAGAAAATATACGTTGTAATTTGTCTATATGTTATAAAGAAAAAAAGAGAAGATAAGTTCTGCAAAAGAAGTTCAATTAAAAAGAATAAACCTACAAATGTGTACCTACCAATGCCGTTACGATGTACGTTTCATGTTTTAGAAGTAAGTACTCTATTTTATGTGCTTCAAATTAAATATAAAGTTTTATGCGTATGACATGAAATTATCCGAATCGTTCAATCTGGTGATTCGTGTATCACTTCACGCTGATGATCCTCAAACGGCCAACTTAGCATCTCAAATAGGCGCGAACTACAAATTACGAGATATCTCGATCCGATTATCTAAGGAAATTTAAAAAACTATAATATTATCGCTCATCCATATAGATTACATTTCTTATCGTATTTAGTATATAATAATATAGATTATTATTGTAGTTATATACATATGATATAATAATATAAATTGTTATATTTTTTGTGTAATGATCGATAATTTTTATTTCAGTTCCATAGATTAGGTAAATCATGCGAGATATTTGTTTAGTAAATCGTTATAATATGCTTTATATTTAAATTTTCGTGGGAGAATAATATTAGTTAATACTGAAATTGTATCTTGAACCAAAATAACAAATTCTTATTAATTTTGTAGTGCTGACAACAAATATGTCAATAAAAAAATTAATCTAATTAAGCTCTAGGAATGCACCGGACAGATATCCGGTTTCCGGTATTTTTTACTATCCGGTCAGATAACCGGATATATTATTAATACTCGAAATATATATGTATTCGACTGAAATTTTAAATTGAAAGTTTGATGCAGAATTCTATTCTTTTCAACTGATTTTGCACAGTTTATGATTTTGTATGGTGGTTATAATGATAATCGAAATAGATTGCCGGAAAATGCTAAAATGTTATTGTCTATCGTGAAAAATTTATTAAAATTAAATTTTAATTGCTAATGTTGAAACTGTATTGCAAACAATCCTGTTCCACAGTCAGTCAATTATTTATATTTTTTCTTTTGCTTTCCCTTTTTTTTAAAAATTTTGAGAAATTTATTTCGGATATTTGAAAAATATTCGGTATTCGACTAGATAACTTAATATTCAAAATCGTCGTGTTTTGAATATTTGACTCCATTTTCTTTAAAAATCTAAACTAATAATCAAATCTAAGTAACGGATTCGTGTTCAACAAGCAAAAATACATTGGAAATGACTATACACGTTCATGATATAAAAAAAGGTCAAATTTTATTGCTTAGTATAATTTGTAAAAAATTATCGTAAGGATCAATCACATTTATGGCAATATCTGCCGCGATTACATTAAAAAGTAAGAATAAAAAAATTTATGCATATTTAGACATATAAACATATTTTATACATAATTATACATAATTATGTATAAATTATACATAATTATGTATAATTTTATATAGAATTTAATATAGAATTTCATATAGAATTATATATATAATTTTATGTAAAATTATATATAACAATTATATATAACAATTATATATAAAATATGTTTATTTATATACAATTACATAAAATTATATATATATTTTTATATAATTTTATGTAACACATTTTTGTCTGAATATGTATATAGTAATCAATAATAATTTTATTAGTACAATGGTAACATGACGAAATGTTCTAGTTTCTTACAGATCATAAATTTAGGAAAGTAACAACTTCTCAATCTCCTCTACTTCCTTCTTCTGAGTTTATCATTCTTTGTCATTTTTAATTATTAAAATTCTTCATAATCTAGTTGTCTTTAGTACTTTTTTCATTAATTATTTCGTCTTCCTATGTAAAATTATGTTACGTAAGACATAATTTATGAGCAGCAGATTTTCAAAATACATTTTATCCAAAATTTTATTTTTTGAATTAGAAATGACATAGTGTTCAGTGTTGAAAGATTCATATTTAAGTTACTCTACGATGTTTTAAAAGTATTTTTTCACCATCAATTTACGTGCTGAAAAAATCTAAATATTCGAAATATATTCTGTTTAACTAGAGACAAACAAAATACATTGGTTTAACAATTAGAAACGGTTTAGCAATTTTGTTTGACATTTTGCATCTTACTTTGGCAAATTGTTTTCTATAAAATATATGGTTTCCTTGTGGCTTTCTTTCTCATTTCTTGAAAATTATAAATTTTCGATAAAATATATTTTGGAAGTCTGCTCCTTATTTATAAATTAATAATAATGATGTAATAACATTAAAGTAGAACTTGAGTAATGACACAACGCAGCCTATATTGCTATCATCGTGCTATTATATTTGAGACTAAATTTTGGCTGCTCTAAATTGGACCCCAGCAATATGTACATACAATAAAACACCTTAGGTTTGTTCGCGTCGCATGTTCTAACATGCTCTAATGATTGTTCTATAATATGCTCTTTGTTTCCTGTTTCTTGCTTTTTACCTTTTGCTTTTTTCCTATTTGTGATCGTTTTATCAACAATTATATTTCTTTGATATGTGTTTTCTGTTTCTTCTGAAGTTCGTTAACGTTTATCTCAAGCAACAGAAAACGAAAAACGGGATAAGAAACAAAAAGGCAAGATACAATAAATAGCAAAAAAACAAGAAACAGGAAACAAAAAGCACATTGTAGAACAGGCTTAAAATGCTCTTACCATAGCATTTATTCACTCTAACGCGCTCGTTGAAGTGAATAGGAACTATAGTAGGAACACATTGGAGTATGCTGGAGCATACGACGTAAAAAACGAATCTCTTGTCTTCTTAGGGAGTTCAGATTCGAATCGAATATCGACATCCATATTCAAAAATCTTATATCTATATTATCAAAATGAATATAAGTTGCTTTCCATGTACACACCAGTGAAACTGAGTCTGAAGTAAGCTGAGTATTTTATACTCAGATTATAAGAATGTCATTATTTGCTTATTTTTGTAAAAAGTTAACAGATTCAACCTTACTTCTAAAGTGAGTTTACGAAACTCACTAAAGCACTCGAGCTTGTGCAGATTACAGGCAAAAACTCAGTTAAATCTCACTTATCAGAATGCAAAAGGAATGTATATTCAACTAAGTAATGTCATAAGTGAGAATTATCTGAGAATCGGTGTAAATAAAAAGCAACAATAGATTCGTAACAAATCTTTGAATGTAGACGCAGATTTTAACATCAATTATCCCGCTGCTAATGTCAGAAAATCATAATATTCGATATTATCTGAACACATTCGATGTCTCTCTTGCATACCTCATGTATTCCTAATTTTACAAACAATGTGGTCCTTAGTCGTTCAATTTCCGCTTCCAACTCACTAGTCTGTAAAAACAATGTGCATTTACGATATTACGTTTGTATTTTTAGTCGTAGTAATATTCATAACAATTAAAATATTAATTATTAAACGAACTTTTTTCTTGTATACCACCAATAGACAGTTGTTCAAGATTTTAAACTTCTCATAAAATAAAAGTTTGGTATGTAGTTCCAGCTCCAACATCGCAATTATTCCAGCTTTCGACTTTACCTCTAGTTGTAACGTTAGTATTTCCTTTTTCAATGCCGCGTAAGTATTTTCATTAGACATTTCGTTTTCGTCGGACAACTTTATAGATTCCGACGAATTATTTTCCGATGAAAGATCTTCATTACTTGACTCGAGAGCTTCAATCTTACTTTGTTGCGAGTCTGCTTCAACATAAAGTGAGTAAAGTTGTTTGTGAAGCTTTATATTCTTCACATTCAATTCATGAATAATGTTCTTGAGCTTAAATATTTCTTCATCGATTTCCATTAATATTTTCATATTGTTATTATCCCTCGACATAAATTTCGATGTTCAATATTCTCTAACTTAAGTGTTTCTCGATTAAGTTTCAGAAATATTTTTTATATCACTATTAATCTCGGAATAATTTTCGATGTCTCTGTTCTTCTGATTCAACTACTGACTAAACTTTCGTAGAAACTTGACATGTGACGGTTGAACGTTTAAGCTTCAGTACGAACTACGAATGGTACCACGGCTGTGACTTTGACCGTGTTTACCAATATATACTGCCAATCCGTTTTCAATACACTGAAAATTTATAATATACCGACATACATAACATATAGATTTTCAGTACTGACAGCATACAGCATCAGTCAAAAATATTAGACACCCTATTATTAAAAATTTTAGCTTAAAAATTGATTTTTGGAATCTGTTGTGAATTATCTTATGTTTCTTGAGAATTTTTTAAACTTATGTATAATGCCGGTAGTCAACAGATAACGCTAATAATAGAATTTCAGATAAATGAAGAAAATATGGATGTCTAATATTTTTGGCAGAGCTGTACATCAGAACACGATCCTTGTGTACCTACACAAACAAATGTCGCCTGTCGTTATATGTTTATAATAACCGTTACTTTTTTATTATATAAAATATCTGCGCAACTGTCGTTACGAACACATAACGAGTTACAGATTATAGGAGCTGGTGCGTTTACAAATAACAATTTAACGTGTATTAGCGCCGTTACAAAGTACTTATCTCATTTTAAAATGTATTTTAAAATGTGTGTATTTTACGTGTTTCAAATTAATAAAAGTAATAATTAGTACATGTATTACGATGGAATTATCCGATTCGCGTAGACGATCCCAATGATGGGAAAGTTACAATTCAGTCAACGCGAGGTATCTCAATCTATTTGTCAGGCCCGATTGCACCAACGATACTTCGACTTTAAGTGAGGCTTGAAACTCTCAAAAAGAGAGAGATAGAGAAACTTTTAAATCTTACTTAAAATCACAGTAATGTTAGTGCAATCGGACTTTAGCCCTTAATCTTTATTGCGCATCGCGACAAAGTGCCGCAAAATTTATTTTTTTGAAAAATTATTGATAATGTTATAAAGGTCTTTTTTTATAATATTAGTTACATTTTAATATTATATTTTATTATAAATATATTTTACTTGCTTTTATGATGATTATCTACAATTATCTATCCAATTGCTATAACTCTTAAATAATAAATTTGTGACGCAGCACTCAGTGCTGCGCGCGCCCTGTTAAGGGCTGAGAAAATTTTAAAAAATTATTATTGCGCGTCCGAAATGATGATGAACTAGATACAGTAATTAATAAAATAATAATCTATAATTTTTATGCTTTAATTCCTTCGTGAATGAGTAAATCGCACGAAAAATGGTACATAAATCACATTGATTTATCAAATGTTATTTGTTTATTCGAATTTTTAATCATGAGAGAATAGTTAGTCATAAAAATCTGATCATAAGGATCACGTTAAAGTATTCTTGATATCTGCCACAATCTGCTTGTGTTTTAAGAAGTAAGCAATATGAGAAAGAACACCATAGTTGAATTTGAAATTATAAATATAATATAATATATAGAATAACAAATATCATGTATACAATTAGAAATCACAATGTGAACACGACGATTAAAATTAAATTTTTATAATTACTGATATATTGTATTTTGACCATGTAATATTTTCATATATAGAGTGTCCCGAATTTAAATAGAATAAACGTGTAAAGGATCGAGGAACTAAAAAGAAAGTCCTTTAGAGATATGCTCATTTTTGTTTCGTTTTGAAGAAAATTGCAAAAAAAGATAAAACGTAAATTTCGGAATATATTATTGCTTCTAAAGCGAAATATTATTTCCGTATACGACTTGAGCGATGTCTAATATTCAAAGATAATGCGAGAATATGCGCGCCGATTTCCAGATAGAACAATGTTGAGTTATTAGTTACGTTAACAAGATCAGTGTTTGTCATTTAAATTCGAGACACCCTGTGTGTGTGTGTGTGTATGTGTGTGTGTTTGAAATAAAAATTTACAAATAACTTTTTTACTTAATTTTTCGAGGAATCTTTCTAATAATTTGATCCGCAAATTTCGGGAACTCTGTATATCCTATATGCTTAAGTTATACTTCATTATATTACAAGTTATATTATGTTAAAACATATATAAAATTAGCAGAAAATATATCACTACTGTAGATAATAATGATATATTTTTTTGTTAATTTTGTATGATGAATCGCTGGACAAAATAAATAATGGAGCTCGCAGTCTTCTTCTGCGTTACAAAAATATGTAAAACTATTATCATCAAAACCAATAATAATTTAATCATTATATGGCATGTTCCCGTAAATTTAAGGAAAGCAACAATTTATTTCTAATATCTTGTATCTCTTCCTTGATTTCCTTTTTAGGTGAAATTAAATTACATTCCTCAAGATCTGATTCTCCTTCTTCAATTTCATAAATCATCTTGTCCTACATCAAATTATATTATTACATAAGACATAATTTATAAATTAATAATAATGATGTAATTATATTAAAATGAAACTTAAGCAATGTAACGAAGGGGGATTCAATAAAACAAAATTAATCTTACATATCTTTTCCTTTTATATATTTTTAAATCACAGACACTGATTGCTTATGCACCAAACAAACTGTCTTAAATTGATATTCATATTCCATATTAATATTACAAGACCGTTTTAAATAACATTTAGAACATTAGAATAGAGGAGTCAACTCCGATGACCTTAATACAATATGTTGTCAATGTCATGATTCTGAGTAATCTTCGACAGATTACAGCTGTCACTCGTTATTTGTTAAAAAGTTATTATCAAGACAACTTTTATAAATAAAACGTAATTTTTGAACACAATATATTTTACGTATATATGCTCTACATACATTCTGCTATATAATTTACATAATTGTTCTTGTTTTATGCCAAAATAGAATAAAGCAGACATTTCCCATTCCCTGTTTAAGGGAAAGTTCGATTTTAAATGCGAAGCAAAGTCCACTCCATTCTCCCTTACATAGAGATCATATGACTTTCGAAGCGAAATCCATCAAGTTTTTCAAAATTATGATCCATTTCTATCCTTGTATAACTTAATGAGATTATTGAATAAGATAGTAAATAAATTAACAACTTTTTAACGAGCGACAACTAAAAATCTGTTAGAAGTTCATTTAGGGTCATAATCTTGATAACATGTCAAGGTGAAGATCATAAAAGATGACTCCTCTATTCTGAATATTTACCATAGAAAGCCCATTAATACGACTCTTTGATTGGTTTATAACATCTTAAGATTTTAATTAAGAAGACCTTCAACATAAGAAACTATGAATATGGCCGTATTAGTATCTTAAGACATAATTATTTGAAACAGTTTTGAAATAAGAACGGACTATGAATGTGATTAATTTATATCTAAAGACTGTACTTAAAATTTAAATATAAGAACTGATTATGAATATGGGCCAAATGGATGTTTACAAGCAACCCTTAAATAATCAATGTTATTGTATAATTATATAGTATCATTAATGTTTCTTATAAACAATGCAATATAAATTTCAATATAACTTTTAATAAAATTGTGCAATAATTTATCTAATTTGTGTTACGAGTTCAACTCTTATTCGAGTTAACATCTTATTCCTTGAGATGGCTTACACACTCCATGGATGAGATATATTGAGCCACTTTTTATTCAACACAAATTTTTTTAAATTCAACAAATACGAGATAGGAAATCATAATAGTCAAAGCTAGAAATTATTTAATGGTTAAATAATTCAATGCGAATTACTATATATATAATAGTATATATTGTATGTACATACATATGTACGAATTTTCTACTTTCAAAATATATTAAAGATATATTAGTGTTTAATTAATTAATTAATTAAGATATAAAACACATAAAACATTTTAATTCTTATTACTTTATCATAATTGAGTGAAGATTTACCTACTACCGAATTTTGGATGTACTCATTGTGCACGTTAAAGCTATCGTTTGCACACAAACAAATTTACATAAAATAATATAAAATAATATAAATTTACATAAATATAATATGGATTAAACCTCTTTATTTAAATTAGCATACAATTGCTTTAATATACACAAATGCGCACTAGTGCGTCCAATCAATTTTGCTATATAATGGTTTGAATAAAAATGAATTTGTCCAATTAACCCTTAGAAATGATTTGGATTAAACGCACATTAAATTCATAACAAAAGATAGCTAAATTATTGCATAATTTAATTGAAAATTATATTAAGAATTGTATTAAATTGTGTACATAGAGAAGATACATATCAATAATAATGTACAAATTGTACAGTAATATTGATCGTTTAATGATCGCTTGTGCCACAAAATCGAAATAGATATTATTCGACATTATCTGACATATTTAATATCTCTTATTTATAATTCTCTATTTGCATACCTCACATTCTTTCGCCTTTATACACAACATAGCCATTTGTATTTGCTCAATTTCCGCTTTTAGCTTGCTAATCTATAAGAACAATATGCATTTAAAAAAAAAAAGAAAGTATAATACGTTCATATAATTATACTTAATGTTCACTAATAATAATTGAAATATAATAAAGTACTTTATAGCTGTGTGCCCTCGATAGTTGTTGCAATCGCTTTTTACAAATCTTATGAAGGGCATTTCTGCTATGTATTTGCAGCTCCAGCGCCTGAATCCTTTTATTCTTCGATATAATCTCCATTCGCAACTTCCATATTTCTTCTTTCAATGTCGAGCAAATACATTTGTTATCGTAAGACTTTTCAGACGAATCACAGGCCGATATAGGCCGATATATCACCTTCTGTATAGACGGCAAATGTTTTTGATTTTCCTTGACAACTTTGATCTCGTCTCGTATCTCGTCAACTTCGGTGCAACACAAGTAGAACAGATTTTCAAACTCCTCATTTTCCGTCTCGTATTCACGAATAATGTCCGCCAATTCATCCATTTCTTGATCGAGTTCGGCGATGTGTTTTCTATCAATACTTTTAGCTCACTCGTACAATTCTAAACGTCCCTGTTCTTTTGATCCAACTGAACTTTCGTCAGACTAAGTGCCACGATTCGCTCGCTCGAACTTCGGTTCGGTGCCGATAGTTCGCTGTACAAATAACAGCGCAGAGACCTCGCATAAATAAACATCGCGCGCTACAAGCCTATATAGGCGTTAAGCCTATTCTTCAATGTGCTTTTGTTTCCTGTTTCTTGCTTTTTACTATTTTTTGACATCTCGTCTTTTTGCTTCTTATCCGGTTTTTTTGTTTTTTTTTGTCTAATTGTAAATTGATATGTCTTTATTTTTTAGGAAATCTCTTAATTTTTATCTTATTTTTAATTTTCTTGTTAGATCTAATTAAACTTTTAATTTTATAAGAAAGTAACCACAAAATTTTAATATATTAATATACCAAAGCCCTGAAAGAATTGATTAATTAAGTTGATCTTTTATTGGAACAGTATACTCCGCTTTTAGTATTTACAAATGGCAGCGGCAATTTTGACCGTGTTCAGATGTACCAAAAAATTGTATTATGTATTGTGAACATTTTTTAGCAATGTATATTGGAACGCAATTCTCATGTATTGTAGGCAAACGCGATCTGACGATTCACGCTTATCAGAGAATAAGATCGTAAATCCCATTGCATTCCCTTGTTAGATTAATTTAATTTGATTTTCCTAGTTTATGTAAATTTTCAATATTTATTATTTTCAATATTTATTAAGGTCACACAATTTTTTATTTCTTTGGAAATGTAGAATATTGGAAAATCAGCAATGTAAGAAAAGTGAAAAAAATAATAATAAATGCAATATATTAAGATACAATTTAATATACGGTTCAAAATAAAGACATCTTTTATTCTTCAAATAATTATTAAATTCAATAACTTTGAAAAGAGAAAGTTAATTAATTATTTTCATTAAATATAAATTTATTATTTAAATATAAATAATTTATGTGTCAGTAAAAGTTATTAATTAACGTTATATTAATTAATTAATTATTAATTAGCTAATTATATTATCTTTGCTATGTTAAGGCTCATTAAATATAATTTACCAAATATAATCATGTATTATCAATACTTTTTTTATAATTTTTGGTGCGTCGATATGATAATGGCCACGCCTAAATAGTAGCTTTTCGCAAATAGCGCAGTTGCACGCGTTATCTCGAGAAAGTGAATCGGATAAAAAAAGAGCTGCGGTACCATCGGCTTTAAGAATAACGAGGGTTCCCTCGGTTGGTTAATCCGCCGCGGATTGGATCGCGCGAAAACACGTGCACTAACGCGATTTTCGGCGGACTCTCGCCCTCCGCCCTCTCGGTCTCTCACTACCGGAAGTAGCGGAACCGTGGCGGCGTCGGTGACACTCGGATCGTGCATCGTTTCACTTTCGATAGAAAAAATGCGAACCGCATAGAGCTGTTGCAACCAACATTTTGGGACAGTGAATTTGATGCCATCTGGAATCCGCAATTCTCTTCAACTCAGTTTAGTTTTTCGAGATCTACAATATGTTGCAATATTCAATTTAGAACCTTTTATAGAATTAACGATAATTGACGGGTGTTAAGCTTATGAAACTGTAACACAATTTTAAAAAATCTGTAACATAGGTATATACATACTAGCACTGTCATTGAGATTCATTTAAAATATATACAGTGAATGCACAAGATATTTATACGAGAAATGTTCTAAAAATCTTATTTTTAAAAAGTAATCATTAGTTAGCAATTTATTAACAAAAAATAAAACAGATTATGTATTTCTTAAATCTTATTTTCATTTTACTTAAAAAAGTGTGCAATAATTAAAATTATCTAAAAATTAAGCCAAAGTGAAAAATTCTATAATTATTTGGACGCACAAAAAATATTCGTCGAGAAAGCTTAGTTTAAACACGTGAAACTGTTTTGTTTATATTAAGACAAAATATACTCATTATTAATAAATTACTACTTAATGTTTATTTTCTACAAATAAAACTTTTTCATAAAAATTTCATACAAACACTTTTTGTATTTAGTGTACATTAATTAAAAAGCATTAATTAATTTCAAAGAAACAAAATGACATAACTCATACAAAAAAAGAATAAATACTAAATTGTAAGTTTATTTTAATAAGAATACTTTAAAGCAGATATGTAACATAAAGAAAATTAAATTGTCTTACGTTTTTGTGTAAAATAGCAATTATTACAACAATAGATACAAGAATTAAGTTAATAATAAATAATTAATCATAAATTCCAATATAATTATGTATTTCTTAACATTACTTTACAGCAACAACTGTATTATTTTTACTCATAAAAATCTTTATTACCTAAACAATGACTGGATATAATGAGTCTAATAGACCTAAGTACGTCAATTGAAATTAATAACAAATCGAACGTTTTGTTTTGTTAGCAATTTCCGAGTCTACATGAAAATTTAATATAAAATTAAAATTTAAATTTAAATTTGTATTATTTAATAAAATATACATCTATTATTTATTGTACATTATAATATATAATCTGCGTGATTCATGATGTATAGATTATCTGTTTTTATAGTGTTATAATAGCGTACGTGGCTTTTGTATGCAAATGAGTAGAACGATTCTACGCTTATCGTTAGTATTGCATTACGAGTGTGACGATCGTGTGACGATCTTCAACGGCAACCGGAAATATTTACAGGACACCCCTCGAGCACGGGCACTGCCCTATCATTATCGGCCGCTTTGCCTGATTTATCGAAAGCGATCCGGCACGTGCCAAGTGATCATTACGCCCCGGTCATTAAGGGCCAGCACATGCTCATGTTTATATCGTAACACATTTCCGCGTCTCTTTCGTAACTTTGAGAAGCAATGCCTAAAACGCTTATCTTACTACGAATTTCAAAATTAAATTTCTTTTAAATCGCGTTCTTGAGATTTCGATGGTATCATTGCGACGCTTCTTATAAAATTGAAGATATTTTTCCGCAAAAATCACACAAAGTGAGTCTAAAAAGTTTAATTTTCAGATAACAAGAAACTTCTCATCTTCGAGCTGTTTATTGTATAAACACGATAATTTTTTTCCGACATATAACAGATATAGAACAATGTTTTAGGATTTGATTAATATATTTTGAAGGATGATTTAAAAAGAAGAAATTTCTGGACTTGTTTTGTTATTACAGAAATTTTATATTTACTATTCATTTATTCTATAATATTTTACATTATATTTAATATTAATCTTTTTATAATGTTATTAATGATAAAGATGAAGAAGAAGATTACTCTCTAATTATTATCTATCTATTTAATTACTATTTAAAGAAAGCAGTAATTTTTTCACTTTTTATTTACAAAATTTACAAATTGTCCTTAATAAAAACATTCTTTGCAAATGTTAAACTCTTATATTTCTTAACTTCTGTTTGTGACTTAATTTCTGATTTGTGGAATAAAAATTGTTCAATATGACGTCAATATCACTATTGACAGAGAATAATTTGACGCTATAACTTAGATTAAAAAAATGGATTTACGTATTTGATTTTTCCGGGAAGTCGTCAATTACAATGAACTTTTTTATCCGGTCGAATACGTGATTTTGATTTTAGATAGATCCGTCCGAAGCTCGGCACGAGCAACCCAAAATTCCTCTATCGACTAACGCGGGTCCACGTATACGTACCGACGAATGGCCTGTGCCAGCTGATGAGGCGGAAGGCACGTAAAGAGATAAAGCAGCGAAACGGAGGGACGAGACACAGAGGAATGTCTGTGATGGGAGGAGTGAAGCGAGCAGGAGGAAACGGTAAGAAACGCGCGGGTGGAAGAAGGGACGCAAACGGGACGGGGAAAGAGAGAAATCAACTTTTATTTGCCCGGAACGTCGTTAGGGGTAAGTGGAGGACCGAAGGGTGGCCGGACGTAATGGCGCCCCTCAACCCAACCTCGACTCTTGCCTTCCGGTATCCGTAGCGTGTCTATCGTGCTTCTTCATCCTGCGCTCCCCCTTTTTATCTCTCGATCTCAGAAGCTCTCCCGCGTGTCTCTGTCCGCCTATCTATTGGCGAGTGTTTGCCCGTTATCAAATTGGCGATGTCTCGACTGGAAGTGAAGTATCACCGGATACTTCGACATGGATGAAATTGATAAATCGAAAAAAGATTTGCTATAAATTTTGAATATCTTGCCAAATAATATAGCGTTAAATATTAGAGGATTAAATTTCAATGAATTCCTTGAGTTAAATAACATTTTGTTATTTCTAACTATTAAGTGTGTCAAAAATTATTATTTTAATACAAATCACAATCACATTAAAAAATAATCTGTTTATATTAATGTATGCGTTTAATAAATAATAAAACAAATTGGAATCAAATTTAATATACCTATTTCTTGAATTGGATTGTTTAATTTCTTTTAATTAATTGTTTTAATTAAATTAACGACATATAGAAAGCAGTGGTAATCTATATAGGAATAATTAAGAATAATCAAATTGATATAATATTATATAATTTCCCAGTATAAGACATCATCTAACAGTAACATAAAATTAATGTTAATTTTCAACCCTGGTAACACTAAATAAAAAAATATCATTAACGTTGTTATTAATATTATAATTTCTTGTATAAGAATATAGCTGTTTTATATTATATGTTATATTATATTTATATTGTTAAATGAGAAATTACAATATTATAATATTATAATATAGTGTAATGTTACTGTTAGTGTTTACCAGAGTTGAAAAGTAACGTCGTTACCGTGTTATCGTTTTTTCAACAATAATTTTTTCTGTCTATAATAGTAATATCGTTATATTTTTATAGTAACGATAACAAACTCAGCCGTTATTTTTATATTTACTTGAATATACATACATATATATTTCCTATTATCTTTATATTTGTCCAATAAATCGAAATATTATGATTGGATAGAAATATTTTGTTTAAATAGAATTTAAATATTGAAAAATATTTTAATTATGATTTGTATCTCAAACTTTATATCTTTATATTTTAGATTGCATTCCGATAGACACTGTCAATAGATAATCTGTAATGTATGTATATGTTATGTGAACTATAAATTTTTAGTACTAGCTGGCAATAAATATTGGAATGTACTCTTTATAATGACATTAATGTTTGAAAATGATCTTTAACAAAATTTTTGATGTAAAGTATATAATATAAAATTGTT